GGGAAGGCACTCCCAAAGAGACCGCAGAACGCCGAAGCAATCGCAGCCACACCGAATCTCTAGTATGGAAGGCCAAGTCACGGTGCTTGGCGTCATAGTATTTCTTATAAACCTGTTGAGCCTATACCAATCGATCACGAATATAAGCCAAAAAATCATCCCGATTACGCAAAAGCTGATCTACGGCCGCCACCTTGGCCGTACCTGGCTCATATGATTGAATTGTTGGGGGATTCCTGCCATACGACACTTTGAAAGGTGTCTCCTTCAGCGACGACTGAAAAGAAGTATTGTAAGCCACTGAAGCCATTTGCGAGGACGATCACCAACTAGACAATGGAGATACATAGCAATTGTCTTGTTTAATGCCTCTGTTTGCCCGTCTGACTGTGGATGAAAAGCTGAACTCATGTGCAGCTGCACATTTGCTAGACAAAAAAGTTCTTGCCAAAAGTGGCCTGTAAAAACCGGATCTCGGTCACTGACAATGGATACCGGAATGCCATGCAGACGGACGATATCATCAAAGAAAGCGGCAGCTACTGAAAAAGCAGAATAAGGGTGCCCAAGCGCGATGAAATGCACGTACCACCGACAAAATCACTGACTTGCCATGAAACTTGGGAAATCCTTCCACGAAATCCGTAGAGATGTCCGCCAGACTTTGCACGGAATCGGCAAAGGTTGTAACAAACCAGCGGTGTGCAAATGTTCCACTTTGTTCTTCTAGCAAACCGTGCAGGCTTGCACAAACTCCTGGACCACCGCGCGCAAGCGAGGTGTATGAAAATATGTGCCTTCACCCGATGCAGTGTCTTCTGTATCCCTTCATGGCCGGCATTGTGGGCTGCTGCAACGACAGTGTGGAGGTGCGCCGAATCTGGCGGCAAGTATATCTTCCCACCGAATGTCAGGAGACCATCAATCTCCCCCCAAGGCCCCTCCACTGTACAAGCATGTAGTTGCTGCCGGAGCGCCTGGAGTGCTGGATGTGCTGCATTCTCCGCTCGGAGCAGGTCAAACAACTCAAATGAGGGGGGCGGAAAGCGCCATAGCCTGCGGCACAATATCGGCATCACGGCGGGACAGGGCATCAGCGACAGTGTTTTAACAGCCTGGCCTGTACTCCACCCGGAAATCAAATCCCAGAAGCTTGCTCACCCATGCGTGTTGTGGAATTGTTGGCAAGCGCTGGTCCAGCAAAAATTTCAGGCTATAATGGTCAGTATGTACCACAAATGAGAGACCCCAGACGTATGGCCTCCAATGCCGGACTGCTTGAACCAACCCGATGAGCTCCCTTTTGTAAGCAGCGAGGCGAGCATGGCGTGACGCTATCGGCCGACTGAAAAACGCCCTGGTCGAGCACCTTGATGCAGGACGGCACCAAACCCTGCACCCGACGCGTCACACTCGATGATGAAGGGCTGCGCGAAATCTGGAAGTTGCAGTGTTGGGGCAGACGTGAGAGCGTGTTGGAGCGCCCGGAACGTGCGCTCCGCATCATCGGACCAAGCGAACGCTGCCTTCTTGAGGAGGCGTATGAGGGTTGCCGCGATGACGCCAAACCCTTGGATGAAACGCCGATAGTATCCGGCGAGGCTGAGGAAACCGCGCAACGCTCGCACCGAACGAGGGGTCGGCCAATCCAATACCGCCTAGACTTTCTGTTTGTCCACAGACAAGCCTTCGCCGGAGATGGTGTGGCCCAAGTAGGCCACCGACGTGAAGCCGAAAAAACACTTGAGGAAGAGGCGGTGCTGCTGCAACAAGGAGAACACAGCCCGGATGTGGCAAAGGTGCTCCACCCAGGAAGGACTATAGATGAGGATATTAAAAAGAGTAAATTGTATTGGTAGTACACAAACTTGTTAGGTGGGTGCAATTTAGTACGTAAACTTGTAAAATGCTCGTTTAGGTACACGAACTTGTCTAGTTCATGCGAACGAGGACCAAAATAGCATCGCAATGTTAATTTTACAAAGCTGATGTTGATTAGGATGTGACGTGCATACGTGTAGTGAGTATGCATTAGACATATAATATTTATAAATTTGATATGTACTTTATCCTTCATCATGGAAGTGATGAATTTCATATATTTCTAACCCTTATATCATTGCTCGTTTTTTTATCATTTTCTACGATCACTATATCCCATTCTATTTTTATTGAAGAGGTGTTTATCTAATAGCAACCTTCTTAGATATATGTTTACATAGTATCCTGATGAGCCCCTAAATCAGTAAGATTAGTCACGTTGTTTCCTTTTCTCCTTCCTCCGCACACACCAGACAAGTTCATGTGCCAAAATCAGCATTTTATAAGTTCGTGCACTAGATTGCACCCACTTGACAAGTTCGTATATCGGCGATGCAATTTACTCTTATCAAAAAATACAGGTACGAACCGGCGGAGGAACGGGTGCAGGACTTCGTTCATCAATGCTTGGAACGTGGCCAGTGCATTGGTGAGGCCGAATGGCATGACGAGGAACACGAACAGGTCTTGATGCGTGCAAAATGCTGTCTTCTCAATGTCTGCCGGCCACATACGGTGTGATAGCCGGAATGCAAATCCAGCTTAGTGAAGTAGGAGGCGCCTTGCAGCTCATCGAGGAGCTCCTCCACCACTGAGATAAAAAATTTCTCCTTGACGGTCCGATCGTTGAGAGCATGATAGTTGACGCAGAAGCGCCAGCTACCATCCTGTTTCTTGACGAGGAGCAAATGCACGGAGAATGCCGAGGAGCTGGGTCAAATGATGCCTTGGGAGAGCATGTCGGCGCACTGGCGTTCCAACTCGTCCTTCTGATGTTGCGCGTATCGATACAGCCGGACCGCCACTGGCCTAGAATCTGGGAGGAGATGGATGTGATGGTCGTGATTGCATTGTGACGGCAGTCCCCGAGGCTCGACGAAGATGGTGGCGAACTCCTCCAGTAGACCAGCTAGCACGTCGGGGCCAGAGCACGCGAACGCGTGTTCACACGGCTTGTCGATGGGGGCGCCGATGCTAAGCCAAGTGATCTGGCAGCCAGCGCGCGTGAGAGTCAGTTGCAACTTGGTGAAGTCCCATATAATCTGACCAAGAGATTACAGCCACTGAATCCCGAGGACTGCATCAAATGTGTCTAGTGGAATCACAAAGAAATCAGAGAAGAATGCTTCATTGCCAACGAGGAACATCACATTGCGCGCGACGCCAGAACACTCGAGGCGATCGCCGTTGGCGATGCATACCCGAAGACCATGGCATGGACTGAGGAGCATGCTGGGGTCGGTAGCGACATCGGCGTTGATGAAGTTGTGCGTGGACCCGGAGTCCAGGAGCGCCACCAGTCGCTTTCCGTTGATGGTGATGTGGAGCTGCATTGTCTCGCTCCCAGGAAGACGGACGCCCGCCATGGCATACAGGGAGATTCCAGGGTCCCCATCCTCAGCATTCGGTGGGTTGGTTTCATTGTCGTCCGCCGAAGGAGCGTAGAGCCAGAACAAGCGCTTGCAACGATGCCCCGGCGTGAATTTTTCGTCGCAGTTGAAACAAAGGCCCGCCTCACACTGGGATTGCATCTCTTCTGGCGTCAAAGTGCGCCGAGCTACGCGTGCAGCCCGGACAGGCGCAGCGGCACGCGCTGCTGCTGCTGGAGCGGCTGGAGCAGATGCTACTGCTGCTATTGGGGCAACGTGTGGCGCTGCTGGTGACGCGGCTGGGCGAGTTGCTGGTGCGCGTGCGGGTGGCTTGGCCGGTTCGATTGGGACCGGGTCTTCTATCTGCACCCTCAACTCATATGCACGTGCCAAACTCATTGCTGTGTCCAGCAATGCGGGTGCCTCCAGCTCAACGTCGATGCGAAGCTTGCCCTGCAGCCCTGCGGTGAATAACTCTATTTTTTGTACCTCCATAAGTGGGCCAGCACGGCTGAGAAGCGACATGAATTTCTCCTGGTAGTCAGCAACGGAACCAGTGCGGCGGAGTTCGGCGAGGGTCCCCAACTTGTTGTGGCGAAGAGGGGGCCCGAAGCGCAGTTCCACCATCTCCTTGAAGCGTCTCCACAACGGCGTGCCGTAGGCTTCTTCAGCATGCGTGTAACACTCCTGTGCCTCGTCTGTGAGATGGAACGCTGCGATCCAAATCTTCTCATCCTCAACGGTGTGCTGTCCATGGAAAAATTGCTCACAACGACTTAGCCAAGTCATTGGGTCCCCTTTACCATTGAAGATCGGGAAATCTCACTTGTGGTAGCGTGGAACCCGACTGTCTGTTGTGCCGTCATGCTGATGCTGGTTTGAGGCCGAGGGTTTGGTGCCCACGATCCCCTTCGTGTCGACTTCAGCGATCTTGTTGTCTAGGCGGCTGATGGCGATGGTGTGATCAGCCATCGTTGCCTCCATCCGCTTAAGTTGGTCCATAATGGCGGTCAGCTGCGACGCTGTCACCTCTATGTTTGACGGTAGTCCAGACATGGCCATAGGCGGACGAACGTGCTCTGATACCAAGTTATCACGCCCGGGCAACGGTCGAAGATTATACTGATGGAACGAAGGAGGCCGCGGTCTCCGCTGACGTAGTTGGCGAGGTATGGTGATGAACTGGTATAGAAGAAAGAAAGAAACTGGCAAGGAGGAAGAAGAGAATTGAGGGAGAAAACACATATAGGAGATTAGAGATTGATTTAACTTTTCCTTAATTCCTCCTTAACGATTACATCTCTTTAAATAAACTCTAACTCTAACTCTTATCCAAACAAACCAAAACCAAAAAGATTCAAGAAGTCTCTCCTTCGACACCGTGCGCCTGCTGCCGAGATCGTCGATGATACGGAATATCCCCCCACATGACAGACACCCTATATAATATTCGATGTGACACATCAAATCTTTACACCCCTGGATCTAAACACCCCCTTAGGCCTCGTTCGGCAACAAGGGGGAATTTCCCCAGGGAGATTCACCCAAGTGGGGGATTTGGTGAATACCCTCCCGCCACCCAATCCCCTCATCAATCCCTTCCACCATGGGATTAGCATTAGATTTGTTCGGACAGGTAGGGGATTGGTTTGTTTGGACTAGGGACGAAGGTTTCACCATTACAAAAGATTTTAATATGCGGCGCATAAAGTTGCAGAAATTCAAAACACCACCCAGAAAAATCTAAAAAGGAAAGAAAAAATTACGAAAATGGTAAACTAACTAAGATTGGTTGCACAATAGTCTAGAAAGCATGTCAATTCAGACTATAAGATTAGTGCACATTGAGATTATAGATACAAATGTAGATAGCTATTACAGTAACAAGTAGCAGGGATTAAATTGTACAAAACAAAATGACATAAACTGAAGCTAAATCATTAATATCTAAAAGCTAATCTTGGTTGCTAGAAATTCCCCAAATTAATTGCACATTTCTCAGGTACATCACAATAATAGAAGCGCGTTATTGCAAGGGTATTAGTACCTCCTCCGTTACCTGCAAAAGGAAAATAATGCATTATCTTCATATGATAATCAGGTTACATCATTCTCACTATACAGGTCAGTCTATGCCATACACAGTTGATGTATTATCTACACAATGAGAATATTGTGTCACTGACAGCAGAACAACAACATATAATAGCTACTTCTATAACCAATAGTTTGTAAACCACATGTTTAACCCCTATTGAAATAGCTTAACTAGCAGCAGTCAACAGAAACTATACAGGTTAATAGAAACTACAGGCCAATAGACAATTCATATATCCAAAATATCAATCTCCAGAAGAGATCCTACAATTTTCAAAGTTCACAAGAACTAAACACTACAGTATCAATCTCACATTATCCAAAATCAAGAATTTTTTTCTTCGACACAGTATACTCTTGATTAATAAAAGTAGAAAATTTCAGTTCCAAGACTGAAACTCTGAAGCATGACAGTCACCTAAAAAGTGTCTAATTGCGGGAATAACATCAACTGCATGATTTCTCTATTTATACACTTCTAAAGATTTGGTGTTGGTCTACGAATTAATCAAAAAATGCACATTGAAAGGAAAAATGGCACAATCTACAGTTTCAGAGAACTGAAACTCCCAAACCTGCACATGATCTGAGACTGAATTTTCTAGCTAAATTTCAGCAACCTGAACCATAATTTCAGAATTTCACAATTCAGAATTGAGCTCAATTTCAGCAGGTCCCCAACATATACACTGCAGTAATGCAGTCAGTGGGCAAGAAACACAAGCACATTTAGAGTGTGTAGATGGAATTGATGTTCCTACTCTTGTTGTTTTTAAAACCAAAAGAATTGCATATTCCTGGGAAGCTGTTAAGAGGAAGATGTGATATTTCTCTGATCCATTTCCACAGTGAAGGACGCGTTTCACAAGGGGCATCCTAAATTCCTAAAAATGATGGCATCCTTTAGAGAATTACGGGGTCATGGGAATCAACAATCATCTTCAGATTTCGTGGAACACGTGTTGTATTAACAGATCCAATGGCCAAAGCAGTTGATAGTCACTCAAACTACCAGAATTAAAGGGAAAAAAACAAAACAGAAACAAAATCAGAACAATATCAGATTCTATGCTAACTGACTGGAATATACTTGCTGTCAATTTCAGCTAATGACTCTGAACAAACACATGCCATTCTCTATTACAAATGCATATGCGCCATTCTCTAGAACTAATGCACAGCAAATCTGAGCACCCAATGACAGTAGTAAAACTTAGTACTATATAAATCTGAGCACTGTTTAACAGAACATTATCGAAACACAAGAACAGTTAATTTAGGCAAGACATAAACAATAGAAACTTTAGGCAGAACATACCTCACAAAAGCACCCAATCTCATGTATATCAACCCTGTCAATACAAGAAAACCAGGTAAGACAACATGCTCTGAAAATTCGTGTGAGCTACTTACTACACTGCAGGGCTTGCGTTGAAAGCTGAAGATAGCAATGTTAGCCAAAACTAGCCTAATTAATAGTGTGAAATTAGAAGGGTAGGTTAGTTTAGTGTTTTGCCGGGTATAAAGGCTTCAGGTTGGGTTAAATTAGGATGCTTGTTGGGTGGATTAACACTTAACAGCCGCAACTTTAGACCTTAGACACGCCACAAATTTATCTTGAAGCTAATTGTCTGTAATGCTGATAATTGACAAGCATGCATGTACCATCTTGAATCGTCGATGGAGTTCAGAAGAAGGATGGTGTTTGACATACCTAGATGATGTAGCAGAAGATGCTCCTCGTGGTTCTTGTTGGAGAAGACCCGGTGTCCGGACAGAGGTGACCGAACAGAGAAGTAATTGCCAGCGGATCTTGCATGGAGGGATGGCAGCAAAACATAAGCTTCCTCATCCACACGAGCAGCGACGGGGAGAAGAGTAAGGGGCTCACCTGATGTCTGCACTGGGGAAGTCAGTGGCGGCCGCGGATGTGTCTACAAGCGGCTGCTCCGGCAGATCAGATGTGAGGCGGCGGCGGTGTCTACAGTGAGAGGAGGCGGCGACGCGAGCGGATGCGGTGGAAGGCGGCGACGCGAGCGGATGCGGTGAAAGGCGGCGGCGCAGGAGGATGCGGTGGGAGGAGCCGGCGCGCGACGGGACGAGAAGAGCGGCACGGGAGGCACCGGCGCGTGACGAGGAGAGAGGCGGCGCCTGGTTCTTGCAGCCGTTTGATCAGGGCATCGCCTGGACAGCGTAGATTACCCCAACGACGGTTGAAGGGTATTTCCGATCATTTCAACCGTTACAACCGTCATTAGAAGGCTATAAAAGAAGCCGTCTCTCTCTATTTTTCCACACACCTTAAGCAAAAAGCTTCATTTATCTTTCAAGTTTAGTGTAGGCTCTAGAGTATATAGTGGAATAGAATCTTCAGTCCTCGAAGTCTTCAAAAGAATTCGGGTATAGCTTTAGTAGCTTTTCCTTCTTTTGTAAGAATTGTACATTATTTAGAATACTCTTCTTTGTACTATTTTGGTATTGTACTATTTTCCGAGTATATGAATATCAGTTTTATTATATATCCGAGTAATATTTATTATGATGCTAGCTTATCTGGGAGATGGAATAGTGTGGGTATAATGATCGTGTATACGATGACTATGTCATTACGATGATATTAGAGTAGTATTTGGTAATTTAAGCGTGGTGTTTAGATTACTGGATATCATTATTTGTGGTTATATGTCGCGCAAGCGAGGTGTGCCACTGATGGTGACAACTCAGTACGAATATTCCTCCGAGCGTGTATATAGTCCTAAGTTAATTTCCCGAGGAGGGTACTTCTCCGTATTTAGCCCCGGTTGGATGGTCATGACGGATTGTCGTAAGAAACTCGGCAATTGGGGATGGCTTCTCAAAGCACCATGAGGGCATCGAAAAGAGGGTATTAGCTAAGTAATTATATAAATAGGATGTATGTATAATATGTATGTATACTAGAAGTATAGGAATAGGCTCTTTCTATTTTCTTCCCACTTGCCTAGATAATTACGAATGAGAGTATAGATGCTTCTGCTTAGTGTCACTCTACCCTTGATTTATATTAACCCCTGCCTAGACTTTGGTTATTACAAGTCATATATAAATTATTAGTACGGTTCTTTCTATTATAATCTTCCCACGGGATTAAACAAATACGATATCCTTGAAATACTCTCGGGTGAAATGCTACAATAGTATATCTCTGCGCTTACGGATGAACTCTGTATATTTCTGCACCATTGCTGGGAATTATATTTGTAGTAATGTCGTTAAAAAATATTAACACTACATCATGATGTTGATGTTAGTGAACTGAGCATAAGCATTCAGTTGCCATTCCTGCGTCTGTGCTATGTGTCCTTCGAGGTTGTATTGGATCTCTCCCGTTTGTATATCACGGGTGTCCATCCTCCTTGTGATTTCTCCCAAGTCCCAACGAGAGGAACTTGAGCGCCACTCGTTGGGGGACGGAGGCATACCGCTTGATCTGGGGGAATAAGTGTTCATGTTCCCCTAGTGTATGCCATGAGGCGCCCGCCATCAGCTCTCGCTGGCACTTTCCCAGACCGAGCCTCCGATGCTGTGGTGTGGAGCTTGGGTCCATCCGAGTGCATCCCCAGTTGGCTTCCAACCAGCCTCGTACATCTGCACAGATGTTGAGGATGTTGAACCTTCTTGATTCATTTCTTGCCATGTTGCGTGTGTCCCTGTACTGATGATACGGATCGAAATTGTTAGAATTGGTATCAAATATACTAGTCCTATTTGGTTATTTGGTTACAGTTGGACTTGGAGTAGTAATATGTGTTAGGGGGTGGAGTCAGAGTCAAACTCTGTAACCCGGCATTTCTCTTAAATAGAGAGGGGGCACCACAATGTAACCGTGGCGACTACAATGTAGCGTAGACATGTAGAAAGAGGATGACGGCATGGCCATGGACTCGTATGAATATCACCATTATTTTTTTTTGAAAGGAGTCACCATTATTAATTTTGATAGATAAATGTCCCTTTTATTTGCTGGAAACTAATTGTTACATCCATAACTAAGAAACCAAAGTCTCTTAATAAATAGATGTTCTATGCACACGTACGCGTGCGCATGCACGAATTATTAAGAGATAATAAAAAAAAAGATACTTGATCGATCATACACAGAATTCTTGAAAGTTAACAATATTATCGTGACTCCATGCATGCAGACGATGATTATTATTATATTTCTATTTCCCTTGTCACTCCTCTGGGAGAGGGCCAAACTTGTGCTGCAGAACCGCGATGAATTCGCTGGAGGTGCAGCCACCAACGCTGACGGTTGATGCACAGTTCTTGTCGGTTTGGTCTGTGCAGATTTTGCCGGCCTTTTCCAGTTTCTCTTCTTTGATGTAACCCCAGTAATTTGGGAAGTGATCTTTCTCACGTACCTCGGTGTAAGCCTGCGACAAGAAAAAAAAGCTTTAATTCAATTCTCTTTTAAGATTTAGATTATTGGTCTATATAAAATAAAACCCCCTCTTTATTAAGCTCGGTTGACCTTATTTAGTTAGTTAATTACTCCCTCAGGTTAAAAGTAATTGTTATTTTGGACATATTAATATTTGATTAGAACAAGATTTTACAAGTGTTTTATTACAATATCAACAATTATTAATGTTGGCATCTTGCGACGATGAGTGGTCATATTTGCTGGTCGTTTTCTTACAGAGTTCTGCGTGGCGCTCCAAGGAAGGGACCATGCGACCATGAAGTCCCGGACCTGGCCGTCGACGTCGCGGCCGCGGAAGACGCGCGCCGCCTCGCAGCCGATCGACTGCGCCGTCGGGTGGGCGTGGAGGAACGCCAGCCACTGGCCGTTCTGGAACGACGCCGGCGGCTGCTCGTGGTAGACGTAGCCGTACCAGTCCATCGACCCGCCCTCCCCGTCGACGAGCTCCAGCGCGGCGCCGGTGGCGTTGTAGACGAGCACCATGGCGGAGACGCCGTCGCCGTAGGAGGCCTTGAGCCCCAGCGCGTGCTGCAGCGCGTCCAGGTTCTTGCCCTCGGCGTGGATGAGGCGCATCGCCTCCCGCGCGCGGTCCACCTGGCTGATGCTCTTCCCGGCGTACCGCGACATCGCCTCCAGCGTCTCGTCGGTGATGGGCACGCCGAATGTGCTCATGCTTTATACTTAGTTACTTTGTAAAGCTAGCTAGCTAGGATCGATGATCTGTTATGCTTAATATCCCAATGTATTTATAGTACTGGATTGCTAGTTAGTGCTCATCTCTTCTGTTTACTAATTGGATTCTCTGTGTGAACTCTTACGTACGTTAATGAATTAAGGAGAAATCAAATGCATGTTAGGTAAGTCTCAGCTTACATGAATCACGTGATCATAGATAGGATCTCACAGACCTGCTGATACTACAAGATAACATAAATTATAGTGAGCCTGTTATTGTTTAATCTATATTGCTTATCACGCCACAACTAATTTAACACGAACAATCAACCTAGATTTTCCCGTTAATGTGGGAGTTCCTAGCTAGTATAGACACTAGCTAGACAGAGATCGTCCTCTTGGGGATAGAGTACTACTAGTACTATATAAGAGGGGGGAGTTGAGTTGGATCATGTAAGCTAATAGATCGAGCTGGATTAGCTAGATCGACCGTATAAGCTAATAGATCGATCGATCGAGAGATGGCGAACTGCTTCGGCGATGTTGTGGACAACTACAAGCTGGACGAGATGGAGAGGTACGTGGGGAAGGCCAAGAGGCAGGAGGACCGTGCACGGGAGGCCATGAACCTGGTGAACGAGGACGGCAAGGACAAGAAGGCGGCCAGCTACGTGCAGGGCGTCAAGGACTGGTACGGCAACGGCGAGTCGACGCTGTGCCTCGTCTACAACGCCACCGGCGCCACCCTCCGCCACGTCGCCGACCACGACTGGTGGGGCTTCATCGGCCGCACCCCGTACCCCACCGAGATCGGCAACGGCCAGTGGGCGGCGTTCCACCACGTCCACAAGTCCGGCGACTCCTCCGGATCCGAGGCCGCCGTCGTGTACCGCGGCACCAACGCCGACGGCGTCGAGCGCGACCTGCTCGTCGCCTGGAGCACGCCATGGAGCTCTTTCTACCGGAACAAGGTATATTCATATCAAATTATTCTTCGGCGCCATTGCTAATTAAAATTGTGTCGCCATTTCGCAGTCGATTTTTCCTCGGTATTTTCCAATTATCTCCAAGATTCATGCTAGTATTCTTCCTGTTCATCTACATCGTATCAGATGTAGAGGTCGGATTTAATATCCATTATCTGGTTTCGGCTGTCGCGGTAGAAAACGAGAATATTAATTAATAAATATATAAACGTATATATGTTTCTCTTTGTTAATGGCAGGCCTACTGCGCTGTTGGAGGTGTGGACAGCTTCCAAGGTGACTGGGAGCAATTGTACGACAAGGTGAATAACGCAGCTTACACATGCAATGCCGACTCGGATGGGTTCAAGATAGATGCCAGTACTGCTACCGGTGACAGCCCCGTCTTCACGGCGACCATCAAAATCCATTTCAGTCAATGAAAAGAAAAACAAGATCGACCACATACTTGCATGGCATTCGCTCATGTTGCACGGGGCAGGCCCGCTACATTCTATTGCTGTATCAGCCAGTCAATGAATGTAATGTTCTTCTCTTTCGCGAAATAATGTAGCTGTTACTATCGATCGTGTGAATCGATCATGTACACCAGCTCTCGTTTTATTACATATTATAATAAATGCGTTCAGCCATGTAATTTGCAGCATTAAAGCAAAAATATCAGTATTTACATCCTTATCTTTACTACTTAAAGAACCTTTTTTTTTTAAAAAAAGGTTTAAAGCAAGGTGATCCTTTATCTTCAATTTCTTCTTTCTATAAAGCTAATGCTCACTAAACACCTAAAGCACAACATGCAAGCATAGTATTTATTAGTACTCCTAAAACCTACATACAAGCATGCCACATTAACCCAAGCACATAAAGCTTAACATGCAAGCATATAGTAATTATTTCTACAATTTATTTCATTCTAAAACTAAACAGACATATGCTAAATCATCATTCTCAAATCATTTTCATAATATTTCAATCCAAATCATTTTATCATTTCTCCAATATCTAACATATATCCCGTAGAAAAGCATGGGGCATCATCTAGTTTTTAATATTATCATAGACATGTTAGCTATCCTAATCAAGCGTTCAAAGGAGGATGAACAAATTGCTGGAGTAGTGCCACATTTGATTGATGATGGTTTATCTATTCTGCAACATCTAGATGATACATTGTTTTTTATGGATCATGACTTTGAGAAAACTAAGAATATGAACCTAATACTTTGTGTTTTTGAAGAGCTCTCTTTTCAGAAAAATGAAATATTCTGCTAAGGTCAAGCTTAAGATAATGAAGAACAATATTCTATTTTGTTTGGGTATTGTTAGGGATATATCTTTTCTGGTTAATTATCTTGGTTTTCCAATACATTTAGGAAGCTGACTAACAAGAATTGGAAATTGTTACGGGAAAGAATTGAGAAAAGCCTAAGTAGCTGGAAAGGTAAACATATGTATGTGGGTAGAAGATTGGTTTATTTAACTTTGTATTAATAAGTCTAATTATGTTTATGATTTTTTTTGTTTGATATTCTTAGAGGAGTGCTTCAAAAGATTCATTATTATAGATCAATTTTCTTTTGGCAACGGATAAACTTAAGAAAAAAAATATAGACTTACAAGATGAGATGTCATCTGTCAACCAAAAGAATAGGGTGGACTTGGGTTTTATAACATAGATATTCAAAACCAATGTCTTCTAAGTAAATGGTTGTTTAAGTTAAAATACGAAGATGGAGTATGACGAGAAATGCCTAGGAGGAAGTACCTTAATAATAAGTCAATAAGTCAAGTAGTGAAGAAAACGAGTGACCCACATTTCTATTCAATCAATGCACTCAACATTAATTTTTAATGGGCATGAGAGAAATAAATTGTTGTGAAAATTAAGATGCCTATCAAATAAAGATTTATGTGGTATTTACTTAAAGGGGTAGTGTTAGCCAAAGATAATTTAGCAAAAAGGAATTGGAATAGTGGTACAAAGTGATGCATTTGTTTGCATGAAGAGACTATCCAATATCTATTCTTTAAATGCCATGCTGCTAAATTTCTCTGGAGAACCGTTTTTATTTCCTTTGGGTTGCAAACACCACATAATTTTCCTCAAATGTTTGGAAATTGGCTGGTAACCATGAATTCTAAGGCCAAGAAATATATTTTGTACGAGCATCTGCTTTATATTGGGCTGCATGGCTAAGTAAAATGACATGTTTTTTTTGTTAAGACTCAAACTAAATGTTTTATGCAGATATTATTCGGAGCAATTTTTTGGCTTCGGATCTAGGGCCAGCTTCAAATGTGAGAAGAGGAAATAAAAGTCATATGTGCTACATGCCATAATTTAGATTCAGTAGTTATGCAAGTTTTCGATAACTTTGGATAGAGAATTAGCAATAGACTTAAACTTTGAATAAGTTTTTATTTTCGCTTGGTTGGTGTAGTTTTATCAGCTTTTTATTTATCTTTGTTTATTTATAGTGTATTTGAGTTTCGTGCCAATAACTTTGTAATAAGTGGCTATAGCTTCAATTGAAGCAAAGGCTAGGTTTATTATCCATTACCAAAAAAAAACTTTTAAAAGCCTAGTACGTGGTGGTTCATCATCTGTCATTTGTCACTCCTAAACATGCGGGCCGGGGCCTACCAGCAGAGTCGTCGCCCCTCTCCACTCCCCCTTGACTGCTAAATCTCCACCAATACAAACCACTGCACCATCTCGAGCATGGCTTCCTCACATGGCAAGCAGGCATGCCTGCAGGCTACCCTGAACAGCACATATTATCTCAACTAATGGTCTAGAACAATATGTTAAATATCTAATGGTTCAAGAACAATAGATGCCACGAATTGAACTTAAGACCTCTCACTTTCAAGTGAGAGACCATTTATCATACAACCTTTTATGCATGTCTAAATGACTTGGCCGGGCTTTCTATTTGAATATTTAATCTCCACTTTCGTTCTCAGAAGTTACCATTTTTCATAATCTTCTACATTACATTTTTACATGTCTCGTTGTATAAGACCATTGAAATTATTTTGCCCAATAATAGTAATAAATGTTTCAGTTCCAGAAGCAATTGAGGATTTAAATAACAATCTACAAGTCCCTTTTAGATGGAGATAACAATTCCAATGGCATGGAGCACATCTCTGCATCATGCGAAACAACGAGATTTTCATGAACATCAACCCTCGCTTTTCAAGTTGACGAGATCGTTTTAGATTTGAGTTTGCCATGGTTATTCATAGGGCATAACGAAAGTTACTTTTCTCACATTACACAATGGTTTGAAAACATGTAATAATATATCATTACACATTGTAAGTGTATATATTTTAGTAATATATTCACTATAAGAGCATTTCCTACTGCATGTAAGTTTAGCCTCATCTCCACATATATTTTATATAAGTGTCCATACAAATCATATCCGGCCTCTATGAATTTTTTGACTATGATAATAGAATATATAAAAACCTTATATTTTGTACATATGGATCTCATCAATATTCTTCTTCGTATTAGTAGCTGGTACTTCATCAGTCCAAAAAAAAAAACCAATCTTGTATTAAGATGTGACACATCCTACTACAGTAAATCTGGACATACTCTATGTTGTTTAGATTTGTTGTACTAGGATATATCATACCCTAGTACAAGATTGGCTTTTTTGGATGGAGGGAGTACAGTAGAGTAGTTGATGTGAGAGATATGTTTATTTATTTACAGCAGGATGACAGGGAAAAGGGCCAGCGCTGCGACGTTGCCTCTCCATCAAGACTACTAATTAAAGCTTCATTTCTAGAGATTTGTATATACATAATGCCAGTGAGAAAAATAATCAACAAAATAACGGGTGAAATCCAATATATCCTATATATTTATAAAGCTCATTCTCTAAGTGTAATTAATGCTATTTCTCTTTTATTTCATTAAGCCACGTCAACTTAATTAGTTTTAGCCCTTGGATGATTAATCTATGGTACAAATTAATTACCTCCTTGTCTTCTCTTATGGAGTCATACCACCTTATTTTTGCCTTTGGATAATTATCTATATTATCTCTTTTCTTTTCCTTCTCTCACTGAG